AGGTTCCAGCACATGCCAAGGTATACCAGCTACTTCCATGTCATAAAGGCTTAGTCATGTCTCTTGACCAAGCAATGAGCTGGTGCCCTGACATTTGGCAGCTTGAGATGAAAAGGCACTGATGCTGAATCTGTCCTCCTCCTTCCAATGAACAAAGAGTGCCATGATAGGCCATGGCTTAGCAGACCCCCTTGCCCAAGCCTCCAAACTCCCCGAAATTTTGTACTTATTCTCATTAGTACATTATACTCAATCCATGAAAAAAAAACTCACAGGCCAAACTTCTTTTCTTGCTGCATAACAGGGCACACATCAGATGCCTCCCAGTTTCTCAATCTCTGTCTGTCCAATTTTTGCACAACCTTCCCCATGAGAGGAGTTAACGCCGAAGTCCTTGCCACACTCAATGCATGAGGTCATGCATGATGAGCAAATATTCTGGCACACTCCACACAACTGGAAGGACATCAGTTTGTCATGCTGCAGGATTACAGCACATCATGTACCAGGGAAGATGAGGACATCAGCTGCTCCCATGTGAGATGCACCATCATCTCTCTGTCTCTGCTCAGAAAAGATGACTGGGGGTCCCACACCATCACTTCCTTTCCTTTCAGCAGTCATTCTGCATCAGGAATTCTGCGCCAAAAGCAAGAGGTGCTGACACCCTCTCCTGAACTCCTTTCAGCATCAACCTGGACATGAGACAATAGATCAGGTACTCATGCCAATTCCAAATGAGGCATACACCACAGATGGTGCATAATGCTCCCTGCTCCAGGCTCCTTGTTACTCATAGGCTGAGCATAAACCAGAAACCAGTTTTCATTCAGGTGGTCCCTCACATCATGGGCTAACATTTCACCTTTCCAAGTGATGGCATACATTTGTTCCTAAGTAACCCTCTCACTCCTGTTACTTCATCTGCTGCCCAACCATGGATCCCGGCCACTTCAAACTGTTTGTTCTTCAGCCTCCTATTTGTTCTGAACTCCTCTTCCAGGAATTCTCTGTTTGCTGCCATTTCTTCAACAAGCCCATGAAGGAACCCATCACCCATCCCAGGTTTCCCAAGCTGGTACCATATCAGCAATGCCTTGAAGTAATATTAAATCTCACTTACGCTTCCTCCAAAGGCATGGTGTGGATCCTCTTCATTGGGTCCATCAGTTCCACCATGATCTCCTTGTCCTTGGTCCAATCCTGTGTTAAATTTAGGATTACCATGTTCCACATGAAGAGGATAAAAGAACTTACACCGGTATACCCTTCCTCTTCATCTATCATGGCATACATGTCGAGGACAGCCCACTTCAGCTGTGTATCCTGGTTGCCCCCTGTTCCGGCACCAGGTGGAAAGCAGGGCCTCTTCCCTGCTTTCCTCTGTGTCAGCCATGTTTTGTCCCTTGCCTGCTCTGCAGCGTGGGATACTGGATGCAGTGATTGCAGAAGCCATGGTTAAGTTTAGCAGGTGGTGGTAGATAATCAAGATGTGCAAAGACCAAGGCCTTTGCACCTGCCTTTTAAAAGCCTTCTCATGATGATGACCTTATGGGAGCAAACAGAGCCAGAATTCAGGGTCCTAGGGCCTTAACTTTTTTGACATGTCCATGGAAGCAAACATGCTCTTCTTCCTTCAACCACCACTGACAGTTTTGTAGGTATGACGTGCCTCTTGCTGACATTGTCTCCACCCCACCCAAGATTGGGTGGGGTGGGGGGCTATCCTGGGAGACTGTATGCATGGCCAAGCCATGC